GCTGCAAGATTGTGGCCTTTATGGCTGTGCTCTTTTGCTTCCATGCGGCCTTCATGCTGTTCTGCATCAGCGTCACCCGCTACATGGCCATCGCCCACCACCGCTTCTACGCCAAACGCATGACACTCTGGACATGCGCAGCCGTCATCTGCATGGCCTGGACCCTATCTGTGGCCATGGCCTTCCCACCCGTCTTTGACGTGGGCACCTACAAGTTTATCCGTGAGGAGGACCAGTGCATCTTTGAGCATCGCTACTTCAAGGCCAATGACACACTGGGCTTCATGCTTATGTTGGCTGTGCTCATGGCAGCCACACATGCTGTCTATGGCAAGCTGCTCCTCTTCGAGTATCGTCACCGAAAGATGAAGCCAGTGCAGATGGTGCCAGCCATCAGCCAGAACTGGACATTCCATGGCCCTGGGGCCACCGGCCAGGCTGCTGCCAACTGGATCGCTGGCTTTGGCCGTGGGCCCATGCCACCAACCCTACTGGGTATCCGGCAGAATGGGCATGCAGCCAGCCGGCGGCTGCTGGGCATGGACGAGGTCAAGGGTGAAAAGCAGCTGGGCCGCATGTTCTACGCTATCACACTGCTCTTCCTGCTCCTCTGGTCACCTTACATTGTGGCCTGCTACTGGCGAGTGTTTGTGAAAGCTTGTGCTGTGCCCCACCGTTACCTGGCCACCGCTGTTTGGATGAGCTTCGCCCAGGCTGCCGTCAACCCAATCGTCTGCTTCCTGCTCAACAAGGACCTCAAGAAGTGCCTGAGGACTCACGTCCCCTGCTGGGGCACAGGAGGTGCTCCGGCTCCCAGAGAACCCTACTGTGTCATGTGAAGCAGGCTGGTAGGCAGACAGGCAGGGAGAAGGTCAAGGCCACCATGATGGGGCCAACAGAAAGGAAGGGGCGAGGCCCCCGTACAGGAGCCTTTCTTTCCGAGTTCCAGCCCAGCTCTTCAAACCACCCAGAATCTAGTCACCTTTGCCAACACCTCCCCAGGGTTGGGGACTGGGTGCGGGATCGGGAAAGAGGTGTTTCTAGTTCTAGGGCCTGTCTCCACTGCTTCCTTTTCCATTTCTACAGTCTCCTCTCTCTCTCTCTCTCTCTCTCTCTCTCTCTCTCGGTATCTCTCTGTCTGTCTCTCTCTCTGTCTCTGTATCTCTCTCTCTCCCCCTCTCCAATTGAGAAAAAGAAAAGCAAAGCTAAAAATGCAGGTTTTTCTACTAAGAGCTGAGGAGACAGGCTTTCTTGCTTTAATGTCTCTCCTTATGACATCGTCCAGATGGGGGAAATTTTTCCTGTAAAATAGACTTTCCAGAGCTCTTCTGGTCCCCTCTGCTCCCATGCACCCTCCCCTTCCAAGTCCTTTAGCAAGGCCTGGGTGTTTAGGGAGAAATTGATCTGCTGACAGAGGGACTAAAGTGGGTGCAGGGTCCTCAGGAAGTAGGGATGTTTAATTGCTGTGTTGTGTGCAGTGATGTTTTAGGCTAACCCTGGTCCCAATCCTGGTCTCCTCTCACTTCCTATCATGTCCAAACATCCCAAGTGTTTCTTGAGCATCTGTTTGAGAAGCCAGGAGGGGAGGGAGACGGGCCCCCAGGATGGTCCCAGGCTAGGTGAAGCGCAGGATGTGAGCTGCACAAAGAGCTGGAGAGACCAGAGATTGGCTGCATTCTTTCGAGCTGCCTCTTGGATCCCTGGCCCCCAATTCTTCTTCCCGATGATGGAAAGCCACTCCAGCCCCATTAGGGCTGATGTGGGTGCCATTCTAGCAGGAACAGCCCCCAAGGAAGTCTAGGGAGAGAACTGAACTCCCCAGAGTAGCTGGATTCCAGAGCCTGGCATCAGAGAGGAATTCAGCCCCAGAATTGTCTCCTGGGTTCACGCTACTCTCCTGAAGATGAAAATTCCTTTGGGGCCTTGGTATCTCATAGTGGTATAAGCTCCAAGGCACTGTGGACTTGAGTCCATTCTTATCTGACCTCTTTTTGTCCTCCTCAAGCCTCGGGTCTCAAGCCCCTCACTAGTAGCCCTTGGCCTCTGGGCCCTCAGTCCCCTGACTTCCTTCCCCTGAACAACCCTTCTCCCCTTTCCTCCCTTCACCCTTACTTCCCCACAAAATGGAGCAGACTGCAGCCAAATTCCCCAAGTAGGGGATCTCTAGCCCCTCTCCCAGGGCAGAGTCCTCTCTAAGATCAGGTCAAAACCAATTCTTGTAGACTGAGGAGCCAAGCTGGCACTATTTTGCCTGGTCTTGCCCAGGTTCTCTGTCTCCTTCTCATTTCTTGGGGGAGGGAGAGATCTGTATTTACCTACCTTCCCTTTCCCTTCCCTATTGAAGCCCTTGTCCTAAGCTCCCGCCCTACTCCAACACAGCCCCAGAACTGGGGAAGCCTTGACCCCAGAAGAATGGGGAGGGCACTCTAGGCAGGAGAGACATTAATTAGCCTGGCTGTGTAGTGGCCCTGGAAAGGCAGGCCAGCGTGGCTGAGAGACTGGGGGTAGGGGGGGAACTTGTTCTCTCAGTGATAGTGATGGGGGTGCCTTTTCCAAGGGATGGGTTGGGAGGACCACAGGGGTAGATAGGGTACATTTAGGAGGGTTTTCCTCCATTTCTTTTTTCTAACTGCCTGGATTCACCATTGGATTTTGTAAATGGAAAACTGAAATGAACAATGCTATATTGGATGTTTTCTCTTTCTGACTGTGTGTGCGTGTGTCTCTGTGTCCTGTCTGCTTGACCACATGTGGGGAGGTATGATCGAGTGAGACTGATGTGTGTCTGTGTGACTTTGTGTGGGTAGGCACCCCTGCCTGGTACACACATATGAGCAAATGCCTGTATATGGAGACATATATGGCATACACACACACACACGCGCGCGCGCGCGCACACACACACACACACACACACGTATGCATCTAATCGAGAGGAGACAAACTAGAGTATGTGCCTGCAACAGGAATTAGAGTGGTCGGAGAGATGGAACTTGAAAACCGTATGTATGTATGTATGTAACAAGATGGTAGACTCCCATCTCATGAGATCTTCCTCCCTTGGCCCAGGCTCCCAACATGGTGGACAGGATACTTGAGAACCCCATCTCTTCCCAAAGCCCGAAGCCCCCAGGTACCACTCCCAACTCCTTTATCAGTCTCCTCTCCCAAATCCAAACAAAGTGTTCCTAAAACTGGACCACTCTGGAGAGTGGGGACTGGGAATTAGGGATCCAATTTGGAGGGAACTGATGGGGTTAAGAAATGCCCCCCATAAAGTAATGGCTTCTGGGAGGACTGCTCAGTCTGGGATAGGAGCCTTCTGAAGGGTTCGCTGTATACAGCTGAAACTTTGGTAAGCTTTGACTAAATTCAGAGAGAAGGCTGTCACAGTGGGGTGTGGGGTGGTACACAAGCCTGGGAATCTACCCAGCCAGAGTGCTCCCTGAGCACTCAGTTACTTTACTATTTATTTACTTATTCTCTCAGGTGCACAGAATTGAGTTGACCATACTCCTCAGTTCTTGGCACGCTATGTCATCATTGATCCATGCAAAGTCCTTTTCTTTTCTTTTGTTTTGTCCCCTTCATCAGCCATTCCAGATCCCATCCCCCCTCCCACATAGGCACCCACTCTCGTGTATTTAACATTTGTCATTCCGATCCACCGTTTATGTGTTTATTTACATATATGTGTATCTGTGAAAAATATATGGTGTTATTATGTTTTAATTTACATAAACAGTATTGTACTATAAATCTTGTTATGTTTCTTTTTTCACTCAACATTCTGTTTTTGAGAGATCCAGCCATGTTGCCGTATGTGGATCTAATCCAGCCATGTTGCCGTATGTGGATCTAATTCATTCTAGTGGTCCATCTTATACACATATATCACATTTTTCTTATCCATTCCTCTGCTGATGGGTTTCTAGGTTGCCTCCAGTTCACTGCTACCACAAGGCTGCAATGGGCAGTTTCTTACAACTTCTCTTTAGGGATGCTTCATTTAGAAGAGAGGAATCTTGGAGTTCAGAGAGAGGGCATGACTTGGTGAGGGTTACAAAGTGAAGAATAGACTCGGACCAAAGCCAAAACTCCACCACCATGTCTCACCGGAGACCGTCTATCTGGCCAAAAATAATCCCAAATACAATTAAAAACAGCATACACTGGGAAAAGGGAGCAGAAAGAAGGGGAAGAAGAAGTAGATGAAGAGAAAGCCCTAGAAAAGTCTAGCAGATGAACTGAATCACATCATTTTAATGACGTATAGGAAGTGTTTTTCTTTTTCTTTTTTTTTTTCTTTTTTTTTTTGCGTGATTATTTCTAGAGCCATTTTGCAGAGATAGAAAATGCCACGTCAAAACCTGGCCCCAAACCAAAGGCTCTAGGTTTCTAAATTCCAGGCTTGTTTGGGGGCAACCCGAGCCCCGAGGGGCCACAAGAGTTTCCTGCAAGGCAAAAGCCGGGGACTGGGACAGGGACAGAGGCAGAGGCAGGTGCAGGGGCAGGGTTAGGGGCAGGGGCAGATTTAAGAAGTGCGTAGTTGCCGAAGGGAGGGAAGGGGAGAAGTGGGGGAGAACAACAGCCAGGCTTTCCGATTTAATTTGAGTACGTCATGCTCAGCGCCTGCGTTTGTTTTTTTGTTTTGTTTTGTTTGGTCTTCAGAACCACTGGTACTTTTCCCATTGGATAAAACGTTGAAAGGGTGAGGGAAAGGGGCTTCTTCCCCATAGCTTTCCTCACAGCCAATTGCCCCGCAGTTTCCCTCTGGTCGTGGTGGCGGGGGGCAGGGGAACGGTGGGGAGTAAGCCGATGATTGGCGGGCCAGAGGGGAGCCAATGGGAAAATGATGAGGTGGGGTGTTGGCAAGCCGATTGCGTGAGAGCGGGCAGAGGTCGAGGGAGAGTGAGCGCCGCCGCGGCGGCCGGCAGCCAATGGCAAGGCAGAATGCGCCTCTGACGTCAGGGAAGGGACGGGACCTGGGCTCGGCGCGGGGAGTAGAGCAGTCGCTGTGGGAGGGAACGCCAGAGCGAGGCTGTGAGCGGAGCAGGTCGTGTTCGGCTCCGCGGCTCCGCTTCAGGTGTGACAGGCAGCGGCCACCCGGCTGAGAGCGATAGGACGAGCGCGGTTCCCTGAACCGGTGTGAGCGCGGTCACCATGGACCGCCCGGATGAGGGGCCTCCGGCCAAGGCCCGCCGCTTGAGCAGCTCGGAACCTCCTCGGGACGACCTGCCGCCGCCTCCGCCGCCGCCGCCTCCGCCGCCGCTAATGCGACTGCCCCTGCCTCCACCAGAGCAGCGCCCGAGGCTCCGGGAGGAAACCGAGGCGGCACAGGTGCTGGCTGACATGAGGGGGGTGGGACTGGGCCCCAGTCTGCCCCCCCCGCCGCCCTATGTCATTCTGGAGGAGGGGGGAGTCCGCGCGTACTTCACCCTGGGTTCTGGGGGTCCCGGTTGGGATCCTGCGATCGAGTCCGGGTACGGGGAGGCGCCCCCTCCCACGGAGAGCCTGGAAACATTCTCTCCTTCGGAGGCTTCTGGGGGAAGCCTGGAAATCGACATTCAGGTTACGGAGCCCAGCAGCTTTGCTGAAGGGAAGGCCCTAGAAACCTGTAGCTCAGGGGGGCGGGGGTACCAGATGTTAGCCGGTCCACAGGGGAAGGAAGAGGCCATCATCATTGTGGAAGACGACGAAGAGTATGAAAAGGAAAGTGTGAGAAAGAAGAGAAGGAGGAGGAGGAGGCGGAGGAGGAGGAAGAAGCAGAGGAATGTGAAAAAGGAAAGCAAAGAGATGAGTGCGGAGAAGATAGAGTGCATCCTGCAGGCACTGGAAAACATTCAGTTGGACCTGGAGGCGGTGAACATCAAGGCAGGCAAGGCCTTTCTCCGTCTCAAGCGCAAGTTCATCCAGATGCGAAGACCATTCCTGGAGCACAGAGACCTCATCATCCAGCATATCCCAGGCTTCTGGGTCAAAGCAGTATCCTTGTCATCTATACTCATGGGCCAGGAGCCCATGACAGTGGGGAGGTGAAGGCGGTGAGAGACAGGGTGAAAGGGTGTGGGGATGGGCCTCTATTCAAAGAACAACTAGGTTTGGTGGAGGAGGAATGGAAGGAGGGGGGCAGAACATCAGAGAAGCTGGACTAGAGATGGTGAAGAGGGGAGGGGGCACACAACATAAAAACTGGACCACAGATGGGAAAGGGGGAAGAGGAAGAACATAACGAAAAAAAATTAATCACAGTTGGTAAAAGAGGGAGGGTAATAGAGGGTGCACAGCAGAAAAATTGGACCAAAGATGGTAAAAGGAGGAGGGGAGGGGCACACAAAGAAAAACCGACTCAGAGACAGTGAAGGAGGAGGAAAAGGGCACATAGCAGAGAAATAGCCCAGAAAGGGTGCCTAACTCACACATGGCTCTGCAAGCCTAGGCCTTGAGACTAGGGAGACCTTAATCTTGGCTGGAGAGAAGTGGGCTAGGAAGGGGCCGGAGCCCCTGAAGGGTCAGGAGGAATATCTGGGAATGGAGATCAAGGAGTTAAATGAAGGAAAGAGGAGTAAGAAAATTCCATTCACTGCTAGTGATAAGTTCATCTCTGGGGGACACATTACAGACATGCAACATGTTAGGAACACATGGGTTTAACATCCCAACAGAATTACAGGGATACAAACACTTGGCACTCTCATACAGAGTATCCATGATCACAGGCCCTCAGCACCAGGGCACACAGTAGCATTTGGACACAAACTCTCAGACGTAGACATACAACATCATGTGGACACAGGCCCACAATACCCAAATATACATCATGTGACTATAGGCCCTCAGCAACCAGATACAGTATCACTTGAACATGGGCCTTCAGCCCCCAGATACAATGTCTTGTGAACACAAGCCCTCAGCACCCAGAGACACATCACATGAACATAGACCCTCAGCACCCAGACACACAGCAAATACAAACAATGGCAAGGCCACCTAATACAGAAGTTTGGTGTAGCATAAACATAGGCTCTCACTACATAGTATCACGGAAATAAAAGTATAGGTTATGTCCCATTGACCCGCTTGCTTTACACACATTACATGAACACAGAAGGAATTTTCCTGCTCCAGCCTCTCTTTTGCTCTGCCCTGCCCAGCCTGGCCTGCCTGGCCTGGCCTGGCCTGTCTGGCCTTCCCTCCCTCCTCTCAATGAACAGTCACTCCTTGACCTAAACTGCTCCCTCCATCAGTTCTTCAACCACCCCAAAATTTCAATCTTGATCAACCAACGTGATGAAGACATTTTTCGTTATTTGACCAATCTGCAGGTCAGGCCAAAGAAACTTTACTGGGACTGGGCAAGGAATCTGGTCCTTGGATGGAGGGGGTTAAGGGGAGGGGCTATGGTGTGGTGGGGATTCCATCATTACCCCCACCATGAGCAGGTACAGGATCTCAGACATATCTCCATGGGCTACAAAATGAAGCTGTACTTCCAGACAAACCCCTACTTTACAAACATGGTGATTGTCAAGGAGTTCCAGTGCAACCGCTCAGGTAAGAGGCAGTCCCAGGGCAAATGCATGGGAACCCCCACACACACTTACCCTTGTCCAGTGCCCTCTGCATAGCCTCCTTTTCCCCTAGGCCGGCTGGTGTCTCACTCCACCCCAATCCGCTGGCATCGGGGCCAGGAACCCCAGGCCGACCAGCACAGGAACCAGGACACCAACCACAGCTTCTTCAGCTGGTTCTCAAACCACAGCCTCCCAGAGGCCAACAGGATTGCTGAGGTGGAGCGCCCCCCCCCCCGCCCCCCAGCATCACCAGAGAAAGCCTTACTAGGCTTGCCTCTGGGTACCTGGGGAATTGGGAGTGTGCTCTGGGGCTCGTACTAATAGCTCTGTTCTTTATTCTCCTCTCTCTTTCAACAGATTATCAAGAATGACCTGTGGGTTAATCCTCTGCGCTACTACATGATGGGAGAAGGGGGCTACAGGGCAAACAGAAAGAAGCAAGAAAAGGAAGAAAGGTAATGGGGGTTGGAGGCTGAGTGGTGGTTTGTTAGTGTCACACCAGATTTATAGAGCCAAAAGAGACCTTTGAGATAATTTAGTCCAATATGTTTTACAACTGGGGAACGATGCCCATAAGTGGGATGTGATTGGCTTGAGGCCACACAGTCAGGGGCAGAAATGGGACTCTCCCCACCCTAGCTTCATCTTTAGGAGCTGTTATAGCTTACTGCCTCCCCAGTTACTTACCACCTTTCAGTGTCTGTCTTGGGTACACCACCTCCCACCAACCCTATATTCAACTCCAGACTTTCCTACAGTAAAAACAGAGATGAATGTGAGGTGGTGATCGTGGAAGACTCTGATGACTATCATTTAATGGAAGACATTATTGGCGAGACCTCAGACAGTGATGTTATCACCGACAATGAGACCATTCATGACATCAAGATCTCTGACTTCATGGAGACCACCGACTGCTTTGAGACCACTGACAATGAGATAACTGATATCAGCGAGAGCCTCTGTGACAGTGAGAGCCCAGACCACAATGAGACCACCGATGAGAGCCCTGATGACAACGAAACCACTGATAGCAATGAGAGCGATGATGACAACAATGAGAATCCTGATGACAACAATGAGAACCCCAATTACAACAGTGAGAACCCTGAGGACAACACTGATGACAATGAAGAGAACAGTGATGACAACGATGAAAACACTGATGGTGACAACAAGGACCCCAGTGTTGATGATGAGAATCCCAAAGATAGCAGCCACTGCAACAACCAAGACAGCAGTGACAGTGACAACGAAGGAGACGAGGCCAGTGATGATGAAGATAACGATGGTAATGAAGGCGACAGTGAAGGCAGTGATGATGACGGCAATGAAGGTGACAATGAAGGCAGCGATGATGATGACAGAGACATTGATGACTATGAGAATGACTTTGAAGACCCTGACAAGGATCAGGATAACAGCAACAACGTGGATGACTATGAAGATGAGGTAGAGAACATCTTTGAAGAAGAATCATCAGTGGAGGAAGAGGAGGGCAGTGAGGAAGGTGAGCTAGACCCCCTCTTGACTTCTCTCCTTTCTCTTCTTTTAGAGAAAGGTGGCAAACATCAGAGTATCAAGGCATGAGCACAATCTGCTCTTGTGGAGAAAAGAGAAAAAGCATTCCTTGCAACTTTTAAAACAAAACAGTGCCAGGGAACATTTACAAATGTAACAAAACCAAAGAAACATTTCAGTTCTAGGAAGTGTTGGAGACAGATAGGATGTAACAGAGCAAAAGACAAGGAAGAGATAGGAGACAGTGGGTGGAAAACTAAGGACTGGTTCACACAGAGAGGGGGAAAAGTAGCAGATACATTGTAATTCAGCATACTCTGTATCCAGCCCTAGACTTCTGGGAACTCCCAGGCCTGTTTCGGGAGCTGGGGGTGAAGTGAACATTGTGCTCTGTGAGCCCAGAGTAGGAAGCAGTTAATTCTACCTCAAGAGTGGGGGAAGGGGAGAACTAGAGAAAGGAAGTGACATTTGAATTGGAAGCGGCATTCGTCTTTATTATGGAACATTCTCAGTGGAAGGGATCACATGAACAAGGACCTGGAAGGGTGAAAATGCATGGTATGTTGCACAGTTTCCCAAATTGTCTTCTGAGGACCCTTCACCAGTTCTGAAAGCTGCTTCTCATGAAAAGGTTCAGTGGTTAAATATGTTAGGGAAATACTGCGTACAGTTATAGCTTCATGTATAGTCACAAGTACATTAGCACCTTAAGAAACCTACTTAAACTTTGTGGAACCCAGCATTTCCCAAACTTCTTAACCACAGAAGCCATTGTTCACTGTTCACCAAAGAATGCATTTTGGGGAGTGCATGTGGGGTTTGAGGGAAGAGGCAATATTAAGGTTTTGTTCTGGCCTAGATGACTGGCTAAAGAAGATGCAATTTCCTAGGATGGAGAACTGCATGGTGGTGAGATTGGTGGGATGCAGGGAGAAACAGTTTGAAGGGCTTGTTAAACATAAGGCAGGCCTCTGGGGGAGGTGGAAGGAGCAGTAGGACCAACCACTCCTGGGGGTTTTGGCCATGGGGGTCCCTGGAAAACTTCCATTGAGGGCAGGAGAACAAGGAAGGAGGCATTGAATGAGTAGACTCAGTCTAGACATTTTCAGGTAGAGTAGGGAAACTGAGGGAGTTCCTGGCCCCATAGACACCCACTGGATGGCTTCTCTTTCAGAAGAGAGGCAGAGCCATCTGCCGGCCGTAGGGTGAGAGTGGGACGGGGGAATTGGGCTCAAGAAAAACAGGCCTGTTTGGGGAGAAAGAGGGAGGGAGCTGCCTCAGAATGAATACCTTTATTCAGCCGATGTCAGAGCTCAGAGCTCGGGAAGAGACACACTGATGTATACAGGGGGAGAAAAAGCTACTTTCAGAGATGTATCAGTTTTGATGGTATAGAATCAGGGAGCCCACCCTACCTTTCAGTGCTTCCCTCCCACTCCTCTTCTGGGCTTTCTGGCGTGCGTGCGTGCGCGCACGCGCACACACACACACACACACACACACACACACACACACGATGCTGCTTGTTGCAAGCAGAGGTACATAGCCAGTGGTCCCAGGCCCCCAATAGCCCTGGTTATGGACTCTGTACCTATCTAACCACCACCCTCCATTTTCTGGTCCTTGCCTCTCACCTCTGTGCAGGCAGCGAGCAAGGAGGTGAGGACGGTGATGATGAGGAAGGAAGCGAGGAGGAGGAAGGAATCGAAGACTCTGAAGACACCGACATGGAGGTGCTTCAGGTCCAAAATGCTTGGACCAACCCGGGGAAGAGAGGCAACACTGGATAAACAAATGGTCTCACCCTTGCCCTTGTCGGGGCTGCCTCTCTGTATTCTCCCTCTGCCCCTTTTGCCCTCCCCCACAGCTAGGGCCTTGAAGCCCCATATTGCACTTCTGGGGGGTGACCAACTTCGTACACGGGTTTAAAGTTTATTTTTATGGTTCAGTAATTGCAGAGTTCTTATTTTGCGGGGAGGGAAAGGGGGATTCCCCCTTCCTTTTGGCCCTCTTCCCCCGCAGGCTTCTGTGTGCTGCTATGTATTTATTGTGATGCCTTGATCAGGGCCCCTCTATCCTCCTCCTCGTGCTGTATGGAGTGGACACCCTTGATCCCGAAGCGGGGAGGGCCGCTGTGGCCTTGGGGGGCTCTGCTGCCACCCCAT